TCTCTTTACCTGCTTCAGTAGCCGCAATATACTCCACTTCAGTTGTAGACAGTGCGACACACTTTTGCAACTTCGAATGCCATGAGATAGCTCCCCCTGAAAATGTGAACAGGTATCCCGTAGTAGATTTACGATTATCAAGATCACCTGCCATATCAGTATCCGTGTAGCCATTCAAGATTGAATCAGATCCTCCAAAACACAAGCAATCTCCTACAGTACCTCTTAGGTGCATGAGTATCCACTTGACTGCTTCCCAGTGTTCCTTTCCAGGATTTTCAAGGAATCTGCTAACAACACCGACTGCATGAGCAATATCTGGTCGACTGCATACCATTGCATACATCAAACTTCCGACGACAGAGGAATAAGGAATCTTGGCCATTCTTTCTTTTTCCTCTGTTGTTGTTGGACACATCTTCTTGCTCAACTTCAGTTGACTAGGAAGGGGTGTGCGAACCAACTTAGCACTTTTCATATTGAAGCGCTCCAGTACATGTTCTATGTACTTCTCATGTGACAAGTAAAGCTTCCTTTCGTTTCTCGAACGAGTAATTCTCATGCCCAACATCTGCTTAGCATGACCCAAGTCTTTCATTGTAAAAACTTATTCAACTGTTTTTTCGACTTATCAATCTTGGAAGCATTCCTGCCCACAATCAACATATCATCCACATATAGCAAGAGGATGATAAAGTCATCATCAGAAAATCTTTGTACAAACACACAGTGATCTGAAGAAGTCTTCTTGTAGCCTTGCTCCCCCATAACAGACTCAAACTTCTTGTACCACTGTCTGGGAGCTTGCTTCAATTCATATAGACTCTTTTTAAGTTTGCATACAAAATTTTCCTTACCCTTTGCCTTGAATCCCTCAGGTTGTTCCATATAAATCTCCTCTTCTGAGTCACCGTGAATAAAAGCAGTCTTCACATCCATCTGCTCAATCTCCAAATCAAGACTGGCAGTCAAACCAAGAACTGTCCGAATGGAGGACATTTTCACGACAGGAGAAATACTTCGTCAAAGTCAATACCTTTCCTTTGACCAAATCCCTTGACAACCAATCTAGCTTTATATCTGTGCTTCAAACTATGTTCTTCAGCTTTAACTTTGAACACCCACTTATTCTTCAAAGCTCTCATGCTCTTAGGCAATTTCACCAACTCATAAGTATGGTTCGCATGCAGAGATTTCATCTCATCTTGCATGGCTTCAATCCATTGATCCTTATGCTCATCTTCTATGGCCTCCGCATAACATTCAGGTTCTCCCCCATCAGTGAGTAATACATACTCATTGGGCGAATAACGGGAGGAAGGAGTACGAGGTCTAGAAGACCTCCTGAGTAGAATATCTAACTCGTCCACAGCTTCGTGAGTAGGAGCATTTACCTCATCAACATTAGCATTTTTATTACCATCACCATCAATATGCTGATCTAGAATATGGTACTGGGCATCACCATCATCATTGAGCCCTCCAATGTCATCCGCATTTGTATGAGGAATTTGATCAAGATTAACTAAACCTTCAGAACTTGGAGATTTTAGCTTCTCCGCTTTGTTAATATCTTCAATGGTTTGATCCTCCACGAAGATAACATCACGGCTTCTCACGACCTTCTTCTCAATTGGATCATATAGCCTGTAACCAAACTCATCAAGGACATAACCAATGAAAATGCACTGCCTTGTCTTAGCAGTTAATTTTGACCTCTCATCTTTAGGCACATGTACAAAGCTTTGCAACCAAACACTTTCAAGTGGTCATAAGAAACATCCTTGCCATACCAAACTTTGTTTGGAACATCACTTTGCAAAGCAACCACAGGGGATAGATTAATAACATGTGTGGCGTGACACAAAGCCGCACCCCAAAAGGAATTCGACAACTTTGCTTCAGAAAGCAAACATCTGACTCTTTCCATCAAGGTCATGTTCATCCTTTCTGCTAAACCATTAAGCTGAGGAGTCTTTTGGTGTTTGATACCTTGTTGCTTGCAGTATTCGTCAAACGATCCACAATATTCACCACCGTTATCAGTACGAATACACTTCAGCTTTTTTCCAGTTTCTCTTTCAACTGAAGCCTGAAACTACTTAAAGATACCCAACATTTGGTCTTTAGTCTTCAAGATGTAGACCCAAAGTTTCCTTGAGCAATCATCAATAAAGGTAGCAAAATAAAGTGTACCCCCCAAAGTCCTTGTCTTTATTGAACCACATAAATCTGAATGCACCAACTCAAGCAACTCTGTCTTTCTTGAAGGAGGATGAGACTGGAAAGAAACTCTTTTTTGTTTTCCAGCCAAGTAGTGCTCACATTTTTCTAATTTTACACTTTCAAAATTTGACAACAATTTCTTCTTGGCCAGAACATTTAGTCCTTTCTTACTAATGTGGCTAAGCCTTTTATGCCATAACGTTGAAGAGTTATTGCTCTCAACGACATTCACCATATCAATACAAGCAGAGGCCGTAGTCCAGTATAGACCACGACGTTTTTTCCTACTAGCCACAATCATGGAACCCTTAGTGAGCTTCCACTTTCCAGCACCATTGGTACTGACATATTCCTCATCATCCAAAACACCAATAGAGATCAAGGGCAAACAAACATCAGGTGCATGTTTTACATTGTTTAAAACTAGTTTAGTTCTAATACTAGTTTTCAAACAAATCGTTCTAACACCGGCCACCCTAGATATAGTCTCATTACACATACTCAAAGTTCCAAAGTCACCTTGCGTATAGGATGAGAAAAATTCCTTCCTTAATGTCACATGAGATGCGGCACCACTGTCCACAACCCAGCTTGACTCATCACAAGCAATATTTATCAGATCCGCATCAAGGACGGTAACAAGATCTTCTGTAGTGACGGTGGCCACACGATTGCCATCTTCTTTCTGTTCTTCCTTGTCTCTATTCTCCTTTTTCAAAATCTGGCAGAACTTCTTTGTGTGTCCTTTCTTCCCGCAATGATAGCACTCAATATCTTTAAGTCTGCTTCTGGATTTGCTTCTATTATGTTCTCTATTTTGAGAACCCCGATTCTTGCTTATCCCTCTAGAGTCAGTCACCAAGACATCTGAAGAGGAGGAACCCTGAGATTTTCTTCTCATCTCTTCATTTAAAAGGCTGCTCTTGGCAAGATCCATAGAGATCACACTATCCGGAGCAGAATTTGATAATGAAGTTCTAAGAATTTCCCAAGAATCTGGTAGGGAACCAAGTAGAAACAGGCCTTGAATTTATTCATCAAATTTAATGGCCATAGCAGATAACTGGTTCATGATCCCCTAAAAATTATTCAGATGATCTGTCATTGCGGAACCATCAAGGTATTTTAAATTCAACATCTGCTTTATCAAAAACATCTTGTGTTTCCAGTTTTTTGAGCATACAAACTTTCAAGGTGCTCTCATAGGGTCTGAGCATATGTCTCCCCAAAAATATGGTTCAAAATATTATCGTCAACCCACTGTCTAATAAAGTCGCAAACCTGCATGTTTAACAAATTTCACTCTTCATCTGATTTATTATCAGGCTTTATAGTAGCGAAGACAGGTTGATGAAAATTCTTGACATAGAGCAAATCTTCCACTTTGTCCTTCCAAATGGCATAGTTTGTGTCATTCAAAGTAACCATTCTACTAGTATTGGCTTCCATCGTTTATCACAAATACAAATACTATTTATTATGAGATCAAAGTAATTCTTTCTGATGTGGAAGTTCAGACTGTGTTGCAACCACAGAGTATACTCAGACAGAACCTTGGCTCTGATACCACTTGTTGGGAATAAACCCCGTAAAAATAGTATTCATGGCATTAGTGATAAACGCAGAACACTAAGTTATGGTTAAATCAGCAAGAATAGAAATGCAGCAATAATGACACCAAGATTTTACGTGGAACCCTTCTGAATAAGGGAAAAACCACGGCCAAGAAGAGCAAATGATATCACTATAGCGAGAAATTTTACACTGTGTAGTAACGAGCAAAAGTACTCTTGAGACCACTACACCCTCAAAAGAAATAAACACTCTTTTGCTTTTTCCACCTTACTACAATATCTCTCACACTCTATTTTTCTTCACAAACTATTTTCTTATAGTTTATGGAATACCTTGCTCTCTCTCTTTTCTCTCTTTGTTCGTGTGATGAAATGAGAGTTGAAGCTCTCCTTTTATAGCCAAAACCTCACTCTCTAAAGTCTATAATATTTGACAATTTGCACACACTTTTCACAATTTTAACAAGATTGGTTACCAAACCAAACCAAGTCAATAAAATTGGCTACCAAATCATACCAATTCAACAAGGTTGGCTACCAAACCAATACAAATTCAATAAGGTTGGCTACCAAACCATTTGAATGAGATGGACACCATCATAATCAAATGATCACTCAATTATTTGAAATTATATAGTAAAATTATCTTTTTTTGTTTGTAATAGAAAGGTAAAATACCTTAGATCACCTTTAAACTTGGCTCAGATTATTAGTATCCTCTCCAAACTATACCTGATCCTAATTATCTCCCTACACTTGACAATATGAATTTAGAAACCCCCTGATCTGTCACATGACATAGCAAGTGGTATTAAGTGCACTATGGCACGTGAGAGAGCTCTCAAACAACAAATATAGGCCCCCAAATAACATCCCAACGGCAACAATTTTCCTATTTATAACATCCCCCGTTACCCAAACTCAAGTTCATACATTTCCCTATATTTTTTATTTCCCTATAACATCCTCCAGGGAAATGCATGAACTTGCGTTTGGCTTTAATGGAGGATGTTATAAACGGTGTAAAGCGAGGCATTTTGCATATGTCTCAGCGAGACGTAAGCCCCATGGTATTTAATTTTTAATATTTTATAAAATAATATAATTACAGTAAATATTTATAAACAGGTAAAATTGCATAAAAATTAAAGAAAACTATAAATATGTATATATATATATATATATATATGTGTGTGTGTGTGTGTGTGTGTTTGTATGTGTGTGCGCGCGCACTCTATTCCCACAAAAAACTAGTTAAAATAATTTATTATACGCTACTTACAAGGACAAGTAACTTGAGTCAACGAATAAAGTTTTCTACATAAAGTAACTTGAGAGCTCTCTCACGCGTCATGGTGCACTTAATACCACTTGCTATGCCATGTGGCAGATCGGGGGTTTCTAAATTCATATAGTCAAGTGTAGGAGGTAGTTAGGATCGGACATAGTTCTAGGAGGACACTAATAATCTAAGCCAAATTTAAAGGTGGTTTAAAGTATTTTGCGTAATAGAAACATCACTTAACTGTTTATAGCGCACTTAAAAAGGCACTCAATTAGAATTCTCAAATGAAAAAATATCTAGCCGGCCCCTCCCATATAGTTCTTTTTCATCGAAGAAAAGGGGAAATCAAAAATGTATTCTTATGGTAACAACACCGCTAGATCAGCAAGGGATTGGTTTATCCACTTTATATCAATAGCATACAGTAACCCTTGTACCTTGAGGAAAAGGGATTAAAGCTTATTCAAAAGGTAAGTGTTAATGTTACGTTAATAATCACAAATCAGATGAATGCACAAGAACAAGTAACAGATTATCTAGTCCAAACCGAATACAGTATTTAATTTAGCTAATGGTTAGGCATTAGTCAATATTAGTGGCAAACCACAAAATTAGTAAGTAGAATTCCCAAAGTTGGCCGGTGGAGAGTGCGTTAGAGACATTAGTCCTAAGTCACGTACATTTGTCAACTCTGTCACGTAGTTGGACGCACGCATAATAACTTGTTCATCTTCGTTTTCCATTCCTCTTTACTCATTATTTTCCAAACAAACAGTCTCCCACAAAGAAGCCAAATTCAGTGTACCCTCAAATTTAAAGGTTTAGTAACAAATTTGGTTTTTGGTTAGTCTTAGTTGAATTAAGTTCAGAGAAGGAGAGTTGCAAGTTACTATCAAGCCATGGGTCTTGGGAAGAAGAAGAAAAAGGGTGCTTCTTTCCAAATTGATTACATTGTACATATCCAGTCGATTAGGCCATGGCCCCCATCAGAATCATTGAGGTCTGTTCAGTCAGTATTACTTCAGTGGGAAAATGGCGATCGCAATTCTGGATTTGTGACTTCCTCTGTTGAGGATGACTATCTTGAAATTAACAAGACTTTCACCTTATTCTTAACTTTATGTCGCGAGAAAAAATCCAAAGATAAATTTCTAAAGAATAATTTGGAGTTCTCCCTGTATGAATATACAAAGGAGAATGCAGCTCAAGGTCAACTCTTGGGGACAGCTTCAATTAATTTTGCAGAATATGGAGTTATCAAAGAAACATTAGCTATTAGTGTTCCTTTAAACTGCAAGAAGAGTTCAAAAAGCTTGCTGCAGCCATCTCTATATGTTAAGGTTCAGCCAGCAAAAGATAAACAAGAATCAGACTTAATGATTGATGATGCTGAAGATGATTCGGATGTTGCTTCTTACACTGATGATGATATTTCGTCGCATTCATCCTCAACTTTTGCCTCTTCTGTTTTTGAAGCTGCTTGGGCTTCACCATCTAACAATGTAAAGGTATTTCACATTCAATCAAATTCCATCATTATGATTAACTGCTTGTGCTTCTTTTACTGATGATGATTCTTCCTTGTGGACTATGACTCTTCTGTTTTTAAGGTGGCATGGCCCTCACCATCTCGAGTTGTAAAGGTACTTGAGTTAAATTACCTTAGGATTGTGTATTTTAACCTATTGTAGCACCTAATTTGACTGACAAAACTGCCTTATTTTTCAGCTTATTATGGACGATTATCATTAGTTATCTTTTAACTTATATGATTGTGTAAAACACTATAATGTATTGATGTTAAACTCATTATCCTATTGGTTAACAAGCATTCAGTTAGCTCAACCTCATTTAAATTCCATGGAAAATCTGAACGGTTTTGGTTGAAATTTATCTGCAGCTTGAGGATCCTATGAATCTAGTTTCATATCGTGCTTCTACTTTTCTCCGGCCGGGAACTTTCGGCTTATATTCCCTATAGGCCACTTGTAACAACTAGACATTTGACTCCAATGTCAGCCTCCCTCTTCCTCAACAGAAAGGGGAAATGAAAAAGAAGCATTAAATCAAGCTTTTTAAAGTGGTAGTTGATCTAGATTGCAATGTCACTAGTTATGTACCAGTAGAGGACCTAATGAATTAAGGATAAGGTTAATTATGGGATACCATTGTTAATTGTATTTTCTGTCCATTGTAGTGTTATTTTCTGCTTAAGATTTTACTGACATTAAATTGCAGAATGACATGCATGAAGAGGCAGCCAGCGGAATGAGCAAAACTGAAGAAAATACTCAGATATCTAAAGAAAAATACATTGACAGATTGATATCAAAAATTACGTCTTCACATATGCATACTCAGGCAGGTGTGGACAGTCAAAGTAGTGCGGATGAAACAACAGAACATGATTTTGGACAGGACGAACTGTTCCTCGATGACACAAGAGACTTGTCAGACAACAAAATAGCTAAAAGTATGAAAAGACAAGGTACGATGAGTTCCATTCGTAAAGCTCTTGGAGCTCAGATCACACATGGTCGATTGAAGGCAGTGAAGTCTGTTCAGATAAGAGACTCTGCAAGTGCAAATGTATTTTTGGGAAACACAGAGATTATTAAGAAAGAAATGAAAGAACACGCAACAATAGAAACTAGTAGTATTGCTAAAAGTACAGTAGTGGAGGACAAAAAACCAAAGAATACTACCAGTACTTCAGCAACTGAAAAAAGGGCTCCTGCAAACGTTATGTCAAAGAGTAAACCTGAATCAGAATCTAGAATTCAGATGCTTGAGGAAGAACTGAAAGAAGCTGCAGCTATTGAAGTTGGCCTTTATTCTGTAGTTGCTGAGCATGGAAGTTCAATGAACAAAGTTCACACTCCGGCCAGGCGCCTTGCTAGATTTTATCTCCATGCTTGGAGAACAAAATCCACTGCTAAACAGGCAAGTGCTGCTAGAGCCGCTGTCTCAGGATTAGCTTTGGTCTCAAAAGCATGTGGAAGCGACGTTCCAAGGTACACTCTTGTGATTGATTGTTTTATTAGCTACTTAATTTTCTTGGTACTTCTAATTTTCCAGCTTTTAATTAATAGATCAGCATCAATCTTCCATTGATTGTAAATTAAGTGGATAGTGGACCCAAAAAAACAGCTTATCAATATGTTGAAACAAATATGTTTAAGGATAAAATTGGAAACTTTACAGGATTTCTCTAATTTTATTATTTTCACAAACAGGCTAACTTTCTGGTTGTCGAATTCCATTATGTTAAGAGCAATCATCAGTCAGGCTGCTGCAGGAGTGCAATTTAATGAAGGGGCACCAACTGAAACTACTGGCAACAGAGGTAGGTCTGCGTTGGAAAAAATATATATGCAGCAAAGCATCAAATCAATTGCTAGCCAAGGGAACAAGAGTCATTTAGTTAAGCAATATTATAACTGGGAGGACATCGAATCATTCACTCAAGCATTGGAAAAGCTTGAAGCCTGGATTTTCTCCAAAATCACCAAGTCTCTTTGGTGGCAGGTTGATCACCTAATTTTTCTGAGCTTTTCTCCCATAACAAGTGCTACTTTATTTACAGTTCAGTCACTTATTTTTGCCTGCAGACTCTGACTCCACATATGCAGTTTTCGACTGCAAAAACTAGTAAGACTAGGGGCTCAAGGGTGAAGAAAACATATGGGAGTAGAAATTCATTGGGTGATCAAGAGCAGGGCAAATTTTCTGTAAAACTTTGGAAAAGGGCTCTGAAAGATGCCTGTGAAAGGCTTTGTCCACTTCGGGCAGGCGGCCATAAATGTGGCTGCTTACCTGTTCTGCCAAAGTTGGTGAGTTGATTCATCAGAATGAGGTGTTTTCTGTTTTTTCAAATAAGCATCCACTTCATTTCACTTGTACTTCCACTTCTTGTTTGAGTGATTTGTGGTTCTAGTCATTAACCAATTTTCCAACATTTTGTTCTTTCTTTAACAATGGCTTATTGTGAAATGTATTCATTGTGTTTCCAGGTAATGAAGCAGTTGGTGAGTAGATTGGATGTGGCAATGTTCAATGCTATTCTTCGTGAATCCATCGAAGAAATGCCAACAGATCCAATATTTGATCCTATAAGTGACCGTAAGATCCTTCCAATTCCAGCAGGAAAATCAAGCTTTGGTGCTGGTGCACAGTTGAAAAATGCTGTGAGTAGAAAAAGTTAGCTTAACCATGACTAGCTTCATGCTGGTTTTTCATTCTTCAAGTATTATATTTATATCATGTACTTCTATTATGTAAGCATAGTTACACTAATAGCAATGACCAGTATTTGGAGAGAATATGCAGCATCCTATTAGAAGTGAGATATGGTAGTGCACATGTAGTTTCCACTGCTTAAGTTCTTTCCCTTAAAAATACGTGAAAATATTACAAGTGTCAATTTTTCTCAAAAGTTGAAGATCTCTTGATTAACTCTTTAGAAGGGAAACAAAAACTATTTTGGTTCAAGGGAGTATTTATTTATCGATCATGACTATTTTGGTTTGTTGATAGGTTGGGAGCTGGTCTGGATGGCTTACAGATCTTATTGGCTTTCAAGATGAAGTTTCACCCGAGTATAATAACATCTTTGGGAATGACAAGAAACAAGAATCATTCAAGGCTTTTCATCTCCTTAATGCATTGAGCAACCTCATGATGCTTCCATTTGAAATGCTCATAGATGCATCCACAAGAAAAGAAGTTAGTCCAAATTTCCCTTTAAAATTTATCAACAGATCAGTCTCTAGTAAATTTATTTTCTCCATACTTGTTTCTGAACTTGCTGTTGCTAGGTCTGCCCAATATTTGGTCCAGCTTTGATCAAAAGAGTTCTCACCAATTTTGTTCCAGATGATTTCCGTCCTGATCCAATTCCAATGAATGTCTTTGAGGCCCTGGATTCTGAAGTAAGTTTTCCATCTCATTTTGTCCTATTTATGGAGCTAATCTGAAGTCACATACCCTTTCTTACACAATATTTTTCCTGATTAAGGATGTAACAGATGCTCCTGGAGAATTGCTGACTAGCTTCCCGTGCACTTTCACATTGCCTGTCTATACATCTCCTCCAGCATTGTCTCTCACTACTTTTATAGAGAAGGTTGGCAATCAAGCTCCAAAGATTAGGGGGTCATCTGTACTCAAGAAAACGTACACCAGCGATGTTGAGCTTGATGAGCTGGACTCACCGTTTACTTCGTTCCTCGCTGATAGCTTCAAGGATTATCCAAATTTAGCAAAACCTGCTAGAAATATTGTCAGATACCAGCTTCTCCGTGAAGCGTGGAAGGAGGTTCAACAGTGAGGAGACCAGCAAGTTTACATATTTGGTCAGTTCCTGCCTTGTAAGAAATGATGTTATTTTCCTTTCCACTGAAGAACAAACATTTCCGAGTACTTGTTGCAATTGGGAGTTGTAACTATCTTTGTTTCTAGTTTTTACACTGTTAAAAAGAGTACCACATATATTTGATCCGGAGTATCTCAATGACATATCAGAAATGTAGATAGTGCAATATTATATGAGAAAATGAAAATACATTTTACATTATTAATTCAGACTCCCAAAACATTAAGATATTTCTGAAAGAACTTTGTGAAAAATGTCACGAGCTTCGCACCTAGCCATGAGTGGCTCGGGTTTTGGCATAGTGAGACCTTTTCCTTCCGTCAAATCAACCACCTCTTCGCTTACCCTTTTCCACTCAAAACACTGCACTAGAGTTGCTAAAGCTAAACCAACCACACATTGAGCAAGTCCAGAACCTGGGCACGCTCTCCTTCCCATTCCAAATGGCAATAGCTTCCATGATTCGGCTTGCACACCTTCAAACCTTTTTGGCTTGAAGCTCTCTGGGTCCTCCCAAAGTAAGGGGTCCCTGTGGATGGCCCAAGCATTCACCAATAGCATCGTGCCACGAGGAATGTGGAAGCCAGCGACCGTGCAATCATCAGATGATTCATGAGGCACTAGCATTGGTGCTGCAGGGTACAATCGAAGTGTCTCTGAAATAATACTTTGAAGGTATTTCAGCTTGGGTAAATCTGCTTCATCCACTAAACGATCTTTACCCACATGGTCGTCTATTTCAGCTTTGGCCTTTTCCAACACCTCTGGATGATTGAGTAGAAGAGACATTGCCCATTCTATTGTTACAGATGATGTTTCAGTCCCGCATTCAGCATGACCTGCAGTTGTTAGTTAATGAGAAAAGTGTCTGGCAACTGCTTTTGTTAGTTGATATTTTGATATTCCCAGGTTTCTATATGCAGAAACAATCTAGAACTTTAAATCAGTGGATACCAAGACAACTATACTATGTTTTGGTGACAATTGCTTCGACCTTAGTATAAATATATAATTATAAAAATTTCAAGCACCTGATGCGGCCTTTTATATACATCATGTCAAGAAAATGGGCATTGGGCCTAACTCAACCACAAGCTAGTTCATGAGATGAGGATTGGACAAAATCACATAAGAAACAACAATCCAATCCTTCAACCCCACGAGCTAAGGATTGGCCAAACCAGATAAAGAGACAACAATCCAATCCTTCAACCAATAGGGACATTCTAATATCTTGTTGCCTAGAACAGATACCCAGAACAAAACACATAATATGTGTGGACCAATATTCACTAAGTCAAGAATTGGGATGATTAGCCTGTGGCTAAGTTAAACAAAGATTCTCAATTTAAACATAGAGTGGGAGATGCAGCAGTGAAGAGAGCTTACCGATATTATTCCTTTGATGATTTGATCAGAGTAATATTCTGGTTCTGATTCTTGCAGAAAAAGCAAATGATCAATCATGGTATTTCTGCTATTATCACGACGGTGTTCATCAATCAAACCTTGCAAGAGCGCGTCCATTTTGCTACCAAGCCTGGCCAAATTCTTCTCCATACTCCTGAAAAAGCAACGAAATACTGCAGGCATGAAATCCGCGGGGTTTGATGCACCCCCATATGAAATAACCTCTTCTACAAGCTCCCGAAAATTGTTTGCCTCCTCGTTATCTACCTCTTCACCATAATATCTCTTTCCAGCTACCATTCTCATGATAATATTGTACGACATCTGAAATAACTTGGACTTGAGTTCAACAGGGGTCCCAAAACTCCCACCCGAGTTTTGAAACACTCTATGAACAAGAAGCTTGACTTCATGTTGTCTAATGGGCTGAAAATTGTTGAGACGGTTGGTGGAGAAAATTTCAAGTGCGCAGAGGCGGGGGAGGGTGCGCCAGTGAGGTGAACCAACAACAGTAGTATAATTATAGCCTATGTATTTGCCTATCATTAAACGAGGGCGATTGGCCAAAACAATATCGTTTTTGGTGAAGCATTCTTCAGCAGCAGACGAGGAGGACACTACCACAACAAGACAGGTACCAAAATGAAGAGAGAAAACAGGGCCATATTTAGTTGAGAGATTAGCAAGAGTGCGATATAGAGGTTGAGATAGAGATGGCCTATAATAGGAAGTTTAAGTGCTGGGGTTGGTGGGAGATTAATATGTTGTCTTCGACTTGAGGAAACAAGTTTCAGAGCTACAAGTAGAAAGAAAATAGAGAGTGAAGTATACAACAAAGTTTCTGAGTCAACAAATCAATGGTCCTATGTGTTAGTTACATCGTTCTTTTGTTTGTGCCCCAAGTTAATTCTCCACCAGTCCATCTTATAATAATCATTTTTCTCTTCCTCCTTTAATTTATTAAAATAAAAGCTGGACATGATAAGGAACGAGAGGTTAATATATATTATGCTGCTCCAATATTTTTTGTTGAAAAAATGGGACAAGGCGAGAAATCAAACTTTCACCAATGCTTCTAAGATTCCCATGCGTTTCAAAGAATTATTTTAGCTTATCAACTGTCGGGTCAAAGTTTGCTATGCTCTTGATATTAGCATAATCCCCAAGCAAACTATATTCATTGGCTGGTTGTAAGCCAAGATTTCTACACCCAAATCGAGTGATAATTACCAAGCAAAGCAAGCTCCTGGAAACTCCTCCCTCCACCCCCATGAGCTTCTGGAATGGCACCAAGATGCATATTACTCCGACGATGTACATCTTTAATTTGACATGTTTTGGTCTGGTTTATGCATTTTACCACAGCTTTAATTTGCTTTCTCAAGTTATATGAGATATTGCAGCACTTGTACCTTCACTATTAGTTAAACTAGTTGAGAAGAGAACAAAGAGTACGACTTTTTTACTATTTCTGGTACAAATACTATGTTATTCCTGTACCATTTCTTTGATCTTATTTACTTGGCACAAAATTTAAGAAAAAAAAAGAATATTTTTGAAACATGTGGTCCTAAGGAGCAAAAGATTTGTGGGTCATAAAAGTTTTTCAAAGGCTAAAGTGGATAAAATAAAAGGTTTAAAATTAAATTGTTTCGAAATATAAAAATGTGTCTTTTTTATTTTTAACCGACTAATAAGGAAAATGTATCATTTAAATCGAAATGAAGGAAGTATTAATTAGCGGATAAATTTTAATACGGTGATTACAATTAAATTTCAAATCATTTTAACACACGGAAGTGATGGAAAAATATCTCTTGCCAATGAAGTAGTTGAATGTCTATGGAAGTTCCTGAGATTTTAGGAAAAGTTCAATCGACATATCAAACGCATTAATTTCCTTCCGCTAGAGATTATACTTTTTAATGCACGTTGAATTATGTCATTTACTTAATTACCTCGATCTTTCTTTCATATCAGCAAACGATCTCAATTCCTTTTCCCAAATGAAAATATCATTAATGGAGTTTAAGCAATAATTTTATTATATCGTCCTTAAAGTTCAAACGAGAGCTTTTTCTCTAATTTTTTTTCCTTTTGTTTCAGTAATTAGTAATGTAAACTTTCAAAATATGCCATTTTGCCTTCTAAAATTGTTCTATTAGCTAAAGTCACATTCTAAGCTAAGCAGATACGACATTACATTCAGTGCGAATGAAAATGCATTACTTTTTAAAGTTTAGGGCTATGTTTTCTCGACGAGAAGCTAAACACTGTTAGATACAAACGATAAGGTAAATGTACTTTGTCTGCACTAGGTAGAAAGGTTAATACATACTATAAATATAAATGTGAGAGACAACAAGAAATGTTGCTCTCAATAAACCCTTATTTTAGTGCATTGAACTGAAAGACAAAATCAGAAAAGAAATTGCCAAAATCTGATCAATATAACTCTTACCTGCAGATTAACATGACTTGTCCTCACTTATTCGTCTGATCTTAACACAAATTTCTAGAAATATTTGGTACATAATACATGTATAAAATCCGAGCTCGCCATCATCCAGCAACCTAAGCTGATTCTAAAAACTGAGAATCATGTCAGCAGCAGCCACACAGAATTACCCATCCTGCTTCAAACTTGTCCCTATATTTATAGGATTATGCTTATAGCTCAATATAAAGGGAAAGAATTATATACTTTACATTCATCAAATCTCCCAAATTATGAACTCATCATCTTCAACTGCCCATATCAACGTATTCCTTCCATTCATTTTCATCCTTGACTCTCTTCAATACTCCTTCAACTGCAATTTCAAATGCATCCTTTACACTCCCAAGACCTCCACTTGGCCTTGCATACACTATTCTTGGAATTGTTTCTACTACTTTCTCCCTCATTTTCCTTACTTGATCTTTACTGTAACTTTTCAATATTTCCTTAATGGACGCCGTTCCATTTCTCACTGCTTCCGGGTCTATGAAAACCGAATAACTCCCCGGTTTCTCCGGTAAAAACCACTGGTACTGCGTGTAAGCCGTTCGTCGCCAGAAAAAAACCGGCACTGAACCGGTCACCATGCAATCGAAAACCGACCGCCGAGTCAAGCTGTCCCCTTTCGGCTGTAAGCAAAAATCGGAGCTCAAAAGTGCTTTTTGGATTTCTGACGAACCGTTAGAGCACTGAGTCACGGCACAATCCACGACTCGGCACGAGTCCGACTCGTTTCTGCAGTAACTCATTAACCTCGATCTGAAATCACTGTTGATATCCCCACGCGCCGCGCCAATGAACGTGAAAAGACTCGTGCGGTTATAGGAAAGCACAAAGTTCTGCCATTCCCTGAGTTCTTTCTCGGAGTGAGGGTGGAATCCAGTAGGGTAAGGTACACTGATATCATTTGCATCCCACGGAGCCCTCTCGATGGTGAAACGCGAAACGTTCTGCATCTGTGGCCGATTGAGAAAAGTGGAACCCCACAGTTTCTCCGGGTCACCTAATCGCCGGAAATCCCACGTTATCCGACCCAGAGTCAGGAAATGGTCCGACCCGTTATATCTTTTCCAGTACTTTTGCCTCTGGACCCATTTCAATACTTTATTGCTAAGCAAATCACGGTTTTCAATTTCATCCGTCCATAGGTATTTCCCTACAGCCTGTCCGGCGTAAAACGGAATGTAGAAAGCAGTAGCAGAATCCGGGTCGTTTGTTCTACATCTGTAGTTTAAAAGCCGGTAATGAAATATTACCTCCGATGAGAACTGATTTGTCCGATACCACGCTGCGGAGAGATTTCCCGGCAAGATTCCGGCGAGGTCCGTTAATCTTTTTCCGTATCCGTCATTGGTGACAAGTCCACACTGCCACTTCCATGGGTCTAGATCGTCGCAGGTAGTTAAAGCTAAGTCTTTGTTGAATTTGGAAGGGAGATTATAAACATAAACACGACCATACTCGCATTGGGGATCTCCGAATGGATAAATAACATTTGGATCATGATGGGGGGGTCTCTGTATGTCGGCAAATAATGCAGTTTCTGAAGGGAAGTGGTGGGGTGGGGAGTGGGTTGAAAAAGGGAAGGGGGAATTGCGGGTGAAAATGAGAACAACGAGTTGGAAGAAGAGGAAGAAGGTGAAAAGCCAGAAACGTGGGTGTGTAGAAATCTGGTACTGGAAATTGCTCAGTGCATTCTTGAGAAAGTCGTTGTTATTGGCTTTGGGAGGTTTGCGTAGGGTTTCATCGGCTTCTAGGGACTCGTCTGGGTAAGGAGGAAGCATTTGATGAGAAATGGAGACTGAATCTAGTCTAGCAAATTGGGAGAATTGTTAGAAACAAGAAGTGGCTGTAAAGTAGAGAACAGAGCAGATGGAGGACAAGTGAGAGTGATAGTATAGTATTCTTTAGGGAGTAGTATAGTATTCTTTAGCAGAGTGGTGCTTCGCTTTGTGTAACTGACGTTAAACAATTTTAGGTTCTCTTCACTATTACCACCGACAGAGACACCCAGCTTTTACTTCTCCTGACATCAAGGGCAAATCATTTGTATAATTCAACAAATAATTTTTAGGATTCTATATATTATACATAAAAGTTACCTATTGTTCTAAATAGGAAAGCCAATCCATCAGTAATCACGCAAAGAATACTTAGACGAAAAAGTTAAGGGATTTATTAATCTTTCGGATCTTACTTTATCAAGACTCCAGCGGGGTCCCTGTGAAATAATACTACAGTAATTTTTTCTCTTCTCTTTTCTTTTACGGAAGCTAAAGACCGAGTCCCGCTCCTGGGTAATTCTGAACGAGACAGAATAAATAATTTTGTGATGGTAGACCTACTTTGTGTCATAGGATTTTCTCCATCTTTAATGTAAATGCTATCGTTTAACTTGATGCAATTATTGAAATTCCAAATCATTCATTAATTTCTCAATAGTACGGAAACAATCGGTTTTAAAACAATTCTCTGTTCTCTCTCTTCCTTTCCTTCAGAATTCCATGCCAGTAACAATATGTCCCAAATCCCAAATACAGATTTGGATCTACACATCCCTCCAAAGCCACCAGACATTACCACTTTAGCTAACTCCGAGGGAGAAATACACAAAATACTCTCATTCAAAGAAAAACTTCGAGCCTATGAATCAATGTCAGACCCTAATCTAATGCACCTTGATACTCCCATATCCCCCTACAGCACGAAATCCTACCTCCGGCTATGGACACTATGGGAAAGGATGTCATAGACCCAGCCAAATACATCACCAAACATATTAAAGAAATCAATCTCACTGAAGAGGATCGGAATCGGATGTACACCCCATGGAAATACTCTCTTATCATAAAATTGATAGGGAAAAGAATTATGCACCACTACTTAAAAGACAAAATCTCCTAATTGTGGAAGCCCACCGAACCTTTTTCACTAATTGATTTGGGTCATGACTATTTTATCATAAAATTCACTAAAGAAGAAAATATGATGAAAGCTCTGCAAAACGGACCATAGTTCATCAATGGTTATTTCTTATCTGATCGTCAATGGGAGCCGAACTTTGTGGTGGAGAAGGCAAAGCAAGTGCACACAGCAGTATGGGTGCGCCTACCCCAACTTCCTACGGAATTCTATGATTGTATATACTAAAAAAGATAAGAAATTCCATAGGAAAATTTCTCAAGATCGATGCATGTACCAGTGCTACCCTTAGTGGCAGATATGCGAGATTATGCATCGAATTTCCTACGGACAAACCGGTTCTACCATGCATAGTAATAAGCCCACATCTACAACTATTAACATATGAAGGAAGCAATTTTCTCTGTAAAAGTGTGGTCACTTGGGACACACAGATCAATCTTGCCACCAGGATCAAAACACTTCACAAACTACACAAGAACACACCGAAGACACATGTCGACCTCAATCGTCATCGGAGTGTCAGTGGCAAATAGTGAACTTCCATAAAAGAAGAACTCAAGGTAGGAGAAAATCAATGGAAAATCAAACAATTCATCCTGCAATCGTCACCCCAAAACTAGGTAACAATATTGTTGTTAAGATATATGAAGCGGCCTCAGGTAAATACCTTAATACTCAAAATCTTTACTACAAAGAAAAAATTTATGATCCCCCAGAAAACACAAATTCTAACATAAATCCAATTATTACCTCCTTAAATAATACTCAAACCCCTAAAAAGATGGAAGAAAATGTCTCTATCCCCACACATAATAAATTGTCTAATTTAATGGACTATGAGTCCAACTCTAACACCCAGACGGCTGATGCCAGGGACAAACATTCCCTCTCTCCAACCTCTTCGATAACTCCAAAGTTGTTCCACTCCTCAACAAATCTAGCCACTACAAACATAACATGTGGCAAACCTTTAGCATGCACTAATACAAACCCTAAACTACTATACCACTCAATGACAGCTAAGCACGAGTCTAATACCTACCCTAAAGAAATTACAAAATCTTCTGTCGCTCGTAATTTTGCCAAACAAATGGCAAATCCCATTGGCCATGTGTCAATATTGCTCGATAATCCAATCACAGTAAATCAACCTCTCCAAAGCTCTCTTATCCTCATGCATGGAAAATCTCTTTGCGAAGATTTGCAATCATTTCATACAATTGAACACTCAACAATTATGTATATATCTCCCCCATTCTAAACACTGAATCATCAAAAACCCATATTCACGAAGAAACAGTACCTTCTCCAAAAACTCTAATGGAAAATTTTCATCCCTTCCCCCGCAAATCCCCTTCCACCCTCCTACTTTTGTATCTCCTCCCCTCCCTCCCAACCAGGATCCTCTAACCTGGATAGAACAGAGGCTACAGGGTTATGCATCCTTTTTTCCGATGATCATCACCGAACAGGAGGTTTGGATTGTCCTTCAAACCCCACATTTTCTTGCGCAACTCATATCGGAGGGGATGGCACTAGCCATGGGGAACTACATCAACCACATGTGGTTAGCAAATATCCTAGACCCACTAGCCCCGGCCTTAGCTCCGGTACTCTTCCACAACATGCAGGTACACTGGAACTTGCACCAACAATTCAACCCTCTTAACAACATGGAGCTACTCTATCAACTACCATTCTTCACCCCAGTGGACCTAGTAACGAACCAACCCATCTTCTACCCATGGCAACCAATTCCCCAACATCACCCAAAACCACTGGAGATCCACCGTCAACACCCTCACAACCTTCAAGAACAAGAGGAACACGAGATAGCAAAAGAGATGGTAGAGGAGGTCACAATCCCACAAGCCAGGGGATCGTTCACCGAAATTTCAAGCATCAAAGAATCATCTCTCATGCTATTCCAGGAGATGGAGGACAAGAAATACATCTTCAAATGTCCAATAGCTCTCTTCAAATGCTCCATCGACTTTTGCCCTCCACTACTCGAGGCAATGAAAAATTTTGCAGTGGTACTCAGTCTATCCTTGAGGAAATTTCCTCCATTCCCACAAGCGGGGATATAAATCACACCACCCAATAACAATCATCTACCGGTGAATAGACCAATAAGCTTAGTTGCGTGGAACATTCGTGGTGCAAATAATAAGGAATTCAAAAGAAATTTCATAGACCTCATCAACACTCACAATCCTTGTATGGTTGCTCTCCTCGAAACAAAGATGACAGACCATACGTCTCTCCGAGATGAATTCCATTTCTCCGACATGCTTCAAGTACCTGTCATAGGCCATGCAGGCAAAATTGCTATTCTTTGGTTTGACAATCTAGTCACTATCAACCAAATCGGTAATTCTCACCAGGAAATTCATGCCATGCTTCAGGTAACTCCAAATTATAATCCCTTTATTATTAGCATTGTTATGCCAGTACCTCCCTTAGTACTCATATAAATCTCTGGAATAACCTTCGTACTATAGCTGATACATATACGGGCCCTTGGCTTATGTGCGAAGATTTTAACGAAATCTTAACTCAAAATGAAAAGTGGGGAGGCAGACCTATAAATCCTACCAGCTCCTCACTTTTCCGTTCATTATCAACTATTGCAATTTAATTGATCTAGGATTCAAAGGGGCCAAATATACTTAGACCAACTCTAGGATTAATTCTAATGGCCTAATCCTCGAAAGGCTAGACCGATGCCTAGCTAACACCCTTTGGGTAAACCAATACCCCAACACAACTATCACACACCTCCCATATACATACGCGGATCATACTCCAATACTTCTTAACCTTAAAAAACCCTATCACCTCCCCAAATTAAAATTGTTCAGTCTTGAAACGTACAAGTGCTATCATCCCGAATTTGATAACATAGTCAGAGATGCTTGGCATACAAATAGTATTCCTGATGCCACTACTTGTTTCCAGCAAAAAGCTTCAGATTGGGCTAAAACAACTTTTGGCAACAATAATAAGAAAAAACAAAGAATCATTGCTAGACTTAAAGGAATACAAGTCTCCCCATGTTACCCTAGCAGCCACTTCCTCCGCTTACTAGAAAACGACCTTATTAAAGATTATAATGACCTGCTGAAAATTGAAGAGGATTATTAAAAAAATTCGCTCACTCATTAACTGGCTCAATGATGGAGATGTTAATACAGTATTTTCATCTTTGTGTAGTAAACCGTAGAAGAAACAATAAAATTGTTGTCTTCAAGGATAGTGAGGGCAACCGGATCAATAATCCGGCATAAATATTAAACCACACATATGCCTACTTCCAGAAAGCCTTTCACACTAATCACATAGAAACACCCTTAAAAGATATCATTGCCTCCCCCACCTCCTTTGACAACACATACCTTACAATCCTAGACCGACCCCTACAAGATTCAAAATTACCCGCGCTATTTTTTCTTTCAAACCGTTTAAAGCACCAGGCCCTGATGGTATTCACCCTTTTTTATCAAAAGTATTGGCATATAGTTAAGAACTCTATTTTTACTTATTGCTGGGAAATCTTTGAAAGCCTTTCCATACCTGAGACACTGAACTCAACCTACATCTACCTAATACCTAAATTTCACAATGCAAACAACCTCAAAAATTTTCGACTCATAGGTCTTTGCAATACTATCTATAAGGTCGTTACTAAGATTATTGTTAACAGATTCAAACCCTTCCTTGACAAACTGATATGGCCCTACCAATACAGTTTTCTCCAAGGCAGACTCACTAGTGATAATGCTATTATTATTCAAGATTATTAACCATTTTCAGAAAATCAAAGGGCGCCAAGGTAAAGTACTTTGACCTTGAAAAAGCCTTCGATAGACTCGAATGGTCTTTCATCTACAGAACCCTTCTTTTCTTCAAATTTTCTCCACGAATCACTAAGCTTATCATGAGCTGCGTTAGTACCTCAAGAATTGCAATCTTGGTCAATGGGTCAAAAACTAACTTTTTCAATCCATTTAGGGGCATCAGATAGGGTGACCTGATGTCACCTTACCTCTTCATCCTCTGCATGGAACTTCTCTCAAAATACATCAATCACCAAGTTAACATTGGACTCTAGGATCCAATTAAACTTATTCCTTCTGGACCCTTATTATCCCATCTATTCTATGTTGATGATCTCACCCTTGCGGCAAATGCAAATTTGAAATCGATCTAATCAATAAAGCATTGCCTCCAATTCTTCTCTCAAATCTCCGGTCAAAGAATCAATATCAAACAAATCCAAAATTATTTTCTCAAAAATTTGCGATAACCCTACAAGAAATAATCTAGCCAATATCCTCAACTTTAAAATAAGTGAAAACTTTGGCAAATACTTAGGATTTTATATTCTTACACATAAGCCAAAACCTTCTGACCTCCGTTACATCATTGATAATATGAATTCTAAACTGGCCAACTGGAAAATCAACTTTCTATCTATAGCAGGGCGAACTACTCTGACTAGATCAATCCTTAACTCCATCTCAAACCATTCTATACAATATATAGCTCTCCATGCCTCAATTCTCAAACAAATTGATAAAATCCAACGAAACTTCATTTGAGGAACAACTAATTTAAAAAAGAAAATCTACTATATTAAGTGGGGTACCATGACCTCACCAAAAAAAGCCGGAGGCTTAGGACTTAGGAGAGCATTAGATAAGAACAAAGCTTCTCTGGCTAACCTTGTCTGACGGCTATTAGCCAACCCAGGTTTCATTTGAGCAACCACTCTCATTAGCTAATGCAGTAATAAAAGAAAGCACACCTCATACTCTTTCATATGGAGTAATATTCTAACTGGTGGGACACCTGTGTAAAGGGTCTCACATGGATAATTGGTCCGGGCAATATTAGCAGCATAGATTCCAAATCTACCCTCCCCCCCGAACACAGTTGTCCAAGGGCCCAAAAACCAAAACGAATCTTCCCTAAAAGTCAGTAATCGGTGGTCCAATGATCACTGGGACCTCTTAAAAATATCTTTCGAGCTCCCCCCACATATTATCATTAGGATCCTTTCTATAAACAAGCCCAACACTGAATGCTCTAAAGATATTCAGCGGGCTATTCTCTACCAACTCACTCTACAAAATAATCTCTCCCCAACCTCTCAATAACTATAATTATAACTGGATTTGGAAGCTTAATACTCTTAATAAAATAAAATTCTTCCTATGGCAATGTTCTCATAATCATCTCCCAACAAAAAGTTACCTTCATCACATTGGTATGAATGTAGACACCACCTGCTCAGTTTGCAAAGGGGTGGAGGAAACTATTACTCATATCTTTTTTGAGTGTCCTATAGCACAAACGTTTTGGAATGAGGTTCCCCCTAATATTCTCCTATTAAATTTTGACGATGCTCACTGGCTCTCTACTCTTCAAAAAGCTAACATCAGCACTGACCATATGGGTATATCATGGCTAGAGTTCTTTCCATTTGCTATTTGGCACATGTGGCTAAATAGAAATCATAACTCCTTCGACAATCTTTGGAACAACCTTTCCGTTAATACTATTTTGACGCGTTCCATGGAATATAAGTATTGTACCAACTCTACATTTCAAAATCCTCTAACCTCAGTTATCACTGTCGACTGGTATCTCCCTCACACCACTGCCTTGAAACTCAACATTGATAGAGTTTTTACAGGAAAATACAAAAAAGGTGGTATTGGTGGCATTTTTCGGAATCATCAGGGAGACTGGAAACTAGGATACTATATCGCTACTTTTGGTCTCACACCAACTCATATGGAATTACTTGCCCTCGAATCGGGTTTACAACTTGTGTGTGACACAAACCTCCCCAGCTTGGAAATCGAAACTGATGCCACTGATATATTTTACCTAATTGATCAAAATAACTGTTCTATTTATGCTAACATTATTAATGAGTGCAGGTCATTACTGAAGAGACTGGGGAATCCGATGATCCAGCATAACTTTCGTAAAGGTAACAAGGTGGCTCACTTTTTGGTGACTGAAGGATCAAAGCAACCAAACATCAACTTCTTGATAACCTTGCACCAACCATCTACAAAGTTTTTAAAGCTACTATGTGATGACAAAATTGGTGCAACTACTACTAGACTTGTTTCTATGAATGTACTAATTAAACTAGCAGAACTTGGGAATCCTAATTTAGTTGTTCTACTAGTACTAGTAGCTATGATAGTTAGAATACTGGCAACTCCCTTGGGGAATCATCCTTATGTAGCTACGCTTGTTAATGAATGATAAACTTCGTCTTTCTACTAAAAAAAAACTTTATATCTTGTTTGATCGAGCTTCTTTTTGGCCAATTTTTTTTTAAAGTTGAGTTGTTTGGCTAAGCTTTTAGAAGGAAAAAAAATGCTTATGAATAAAGGGAGAAACAGCTTTCTAAAAGCAAAAGGAAATAATTTTCTTTGCAAAAACACTTTTTTGAAAATTACTTGTGGGAAAATACACTTAGAAACTTTTTTAAAGCTTAGCTAAATACTAATTATTGCTTAAAAGTCCTTTTTAAATTAATTAATTAAACATAAATTGCTTCTATTTTTTAAAAAGTATTCTTTTAAAATATTTTTGAAAACAAAGTAATTTTAGAAGTTTAGCCAAATAGTTCTATTTGAAAAGTTGAGAACGTAGAAAGAGGAAGAGGGGCAATATCGCCGCCGCCCCCACAGCCACAAATTAAGGCGCGACCCCTGCTTTGGTGGAATGGTAGGCTAAGGGTTTAAAATTCCTTGTGCGACTAAAATGTACGTGTCCCGTCTTTGTAGAAATTAAATTTAATCTCTAGCTTTATTTGGACAAAAAGTCAATAAATGCGATGCATGTTCTATGGCTCGGGAAAGTAATTGTTGTCGGCTCTTCTTTAGCCCCTCAGTCCATTTCTCTTCTTTCCGTCTGTTTTTAGCCATGGCAGCAGTGGCGAATTTAGGGACGGAAGGGTTC